ATGATCCTTGGTCCATGAGATTCCCATCCTATAAGTGCATTTTGCGCTTGTTTGGACAGCATCAATGCAACTCCTTGTGTATGTGGTGCATTTTCTTCTTCATGGTTGGAGTATAACAGGAGCTCTCCTCTAGTTAGTCGTTGTTGTCCAACTTGTGTCCAATGTGTTTCACTGATCCCAAGCACCTCCAGGTTGTATCTCCTCATTTCTGCAGAAATTTGGAAGGCTTTTCCGATGTCCCACATTGTACGAACATTCCATGTACCTAAATTAATGGTTGCTCTGGTTGTCAGAAGGGGCATCGGTCTCGTAACTTCCGAAGGAATTCGGCTTTCATCATGCGGCGTCATAGTTTTTCCAAATGAAGACTTTCTGACTGCCAGGGCAGAGTTCAAAAGGTTTGAATAATTTTTTCGGTTTAGCGTTTTTCATAGCGATTTAGTCTTTCACTGGATGGGGTCGCTAACCCCATATCCAACCCTTCTCCTTTATCCGGGCTTGAGACCAGCAGTAGCCCAAGAGGGGCTCCAGGCAGAGGAGAAGAAGACTAAAGAAACAGATATGAAATGAATGAATAACAATTGGATAGAACTAGAACGGATAGCCCAGGACAGAGTGGGTTGGAGAATGCTAGTCGACGGCCTATACCTCCTTGAGAGTAACAGATGTAAGGAAAAATTTGTAGATAATACCATTCTAATAGTAGTCACTTGAAAATAAAGTATAAATGTACTTAAAGTGTGCACCATAAAATTACAAATGAAACTACACATTATATAATAAAACTATTTAATATCAGCCAATAAAATATGACATTTTCCCATAGTTTCTTCATATTTCTTTATCAGACTATAAAATGTAAGAAGAAATAAATGTGACTATTGTATAGATACAATATTGATAGAATAAACTAAGAAAGGAAGGGAAGAAGGAATGGTTTCTAGGGAATGTTAATTATATCAGACTAGGTGTTCTAGTCAATTTTGATTTCTTCAAACAAGAAAAGAATGAATAATGTGACTTTATATTGATCAACAAATATTTCTGAAAATAAATGATAACAGTCTACACAGTTACGTCATTATCAGAAGGGGAAGTTTTATGGAGATTTTAGTAATTTACTAGTTGAATTCATCAGTCAATTAAAGGTAGACCACCATGATAAACCTGAAAGTACTGGATAGCTGTTTCATCCTAGTATGGAACTCATCAGCAATGCACGTCGATGATCTTGATCGCGGGGTTCGAACCCAAAACTGAAGAAAAGGCAACAGAAAATGATTGGTGTGGAAACAAAGTCCGAGCTGATTGATTGACATTGTGGAAATGAAGTAGTTACTGTATGGTTCTCAGATGTTACTAAGGTGTCCTGTAATTTTGTATTCGGACACATTCGATTGTCTTTACTTTTGTTCTCCTTCACTACAAAAGACTGCTCGATAAAATTAAAAACCAGTCTCATCTCCAAACAGACACTTAGAACGTGGGCATAGAAAGATAAGTGATCAAAGAAATTTCGACAAAACCTAGTATTGATGTTACTTTTACAAAGCAAATAATAATAATACATTAACACCATTGGGTGCCGGCCCAGTAGTTTAGTAGGTTAAGTGTTTGCGCGCGAGACTCTAGGTCCTGTGTTGGAATCCCGCGAGCGGTATCGTGTGTTCGCACTGCTGAAAAATCCCATACTAGGACGAAATGGCCATCCAGTGCTTCCAGGTTTTCTATGGTAGTCTAACATCAATCGGTTCATGATCTCAATCAAAATGTTATCATACAATTAAATCTATTCCTTTTTGCACAATCATTCTTGTATGGATTTTACTGTTTTTGTTATCTTGTAATTTTGAAAATTGCGAACTGTATTTGGCTGCATTTGACAATTTAAATGAAGAAATTTCGAACATTCTGTTTCATTATTCTGTTTATCATACATTGATATGGATAGTAAAGTACTTGGAAACTCTTAGGTGAGACTATAATTTATAAACGAACCAATTAGGTATAAGATAACAGGTCTTAGATTTTGGCTCAAAGTTTATCCACCCATTTAGTAAAATACTTTTGTGACATTATAGCTGATGTCAGTTCGTGACGAAAACCCTAAATCCAATTCTTGACTTTGACCATCAACTGTAAATCATCATTCTAATTCTACACACTAATTTATAAGCCCTATTTGATCCTAGTTATTAAATGAACACTCTTAAGGTGACTTTAGCGTTACTCGAATGTTGTAGATAAATTATAGTTTTACCAAATGTTATATTGGATAGAGAAATCTGATGTAAATTTCAGTTGTAATCAAAATGAATTTAAACAGACAATTGGTTTAGAAGTAGCAATACAGTTTAATCTGAGTGTTATAGCAACACTGCCATGATTCATTTCGTTTATAGTTAAATTTTGTTAAGCTCTGTTATTAACTTCATGTACCTAAATAAATGGTTGCTGTGGTTGTCAGAAGGAGCGTCGGTCTCGTAACTTCTGAAGGAATTCGGCTTTCATCATGAGGCGTCATAGTTCTTCTAAATGAAAACCTTCTGACTCCCAGGGTAGAGTTTAAAAGGTTTGAATAATTTTTTCGGTTTAGCGTTTTTTTAGCGAGTTAGTTTTCTACGGGATGGGGACGCTAACCCCATGTTCAACCCTTCTCCTTTATCCGGACTTGGGACCGGCAGTAGCCCCCGGGGGGCTCCAGGCAGAGTAACAGGCGTAAGTAAGTAACTAAGTCTTTTATTAACTCATTTAACAAACAATGTTATTCGAATGGTAACAATTCATCTATTTCCTTGTACTATTTATGATCATTATCTTGTCTGTATAAACGTGTATTCTTGACCAAATGAGACAGACTACTCATATTATCTTTCCCTAGCTAGAATGTTGATAGCTTCATTATCATGCTCTTCCTCATGTATATATGTACTCGAATCCTATTGTTAACCTTTGCCTTGCCTAGATGCGCCATATTCGATTTGACTATAAGTACACCACTTTATTCTCTGTCACACAAACATTAGCCTCTCTGCTTTCAATTCTCTCGATGTACTTATAACTTTGTTGTCTGTACTATCGGCTAATAAATGGTAGTCACCGCTTCTTATTGCCTTCTGATTTCAAACATCGTTGAGATTTATACAATAACGGTTATCAAGATGATTGATGATAAACGAACCTTAGCCACTACAGTTTATGTTCACAGAATTCTGTATGGTTTGTTGGGATACTATTGTTGTATGCCTAAAATACACACTCTTATATCGTTGCAATAGCCTGGAAACAATTTAAGAAATATTCATTGAAAAATCACCTAAAAACTGAAATTGAATATATACGATAGTGAATTTATTTTTATCGTTAAAAATAAACATCCCAATTAATAATAAACCCATCTTACATCTTCCTTAGGAACTTAATTAGTATCTGAGTTCGTTTTTCAGTTGCATCTTTTTGAACGGTTTCTTTGGAGAATTTGACAAGATCAGATCATATCGAAGATAGTTCGGTGACATTGTAAAGTATGTTAAGGTATAACATTCATTCTTTAATTTAACTAAGGTAGATTTTTCTATATATTGTGGGCCTTGTGCCCCTATTAATATATGACGTAATGATACCGAGAATTATCAACCGGACCAATGACGCATTAAACCGAGTATGAACAGTCTAGAATCCTTATCGATACTTCTTTTCGCCCAACACTGCCCGTTCGGAACATCAATCTCAGCCTCCACGATATGAATCATTTATTTCAAACGTACTGAGTTTATATACACCAACCAATAAAATAGGAAACAACATTTGTACAAGACTTAGCCAAATGTGACTGTGAGCGTGGAAGAGTGTAATTAATAGACTGGGCAAAACTCAAGGACGGTAAATCGTATCATAATAGTCTATAAGTCAAATGGAAGCTTGTAATAAGAGGAGTACAGATATACAGTGTCTAGCTACTAAATAATTATACATTAAGACTATACGTATGATATTTGTCCATAAATAGATCCCAATAGTTACCATCCACTATTCTCGTTGGGATATAACAGATTTATTATGTACAATGAACGTTGATTAGAAATTCAATGTGATATTCTAATGTTGATAATGATCGCCACACAATAAACTTAACTTACTTAGACTTTTTAAAAAAAAGTGAATTCCATACACACTATCATCTGAACATTGACAAAATGTAAGTGAGATTTGAATAGTTAAAAATACACGAATAGATATATATTACTGATACAGTTCAAGTCTTAAGTAGTATCTTTAAACTCAGTATTTATTCTAAAGTTTATATTTCCAATTATTAATTGATCATGTTCTTCATACTACTTAATAAATATTTCCTCATTCATATAATAGTTTCTGATTAACTACTAATTATCTCTGGTTAGTAATAAATGAGAAATAATTTCCTAATTAAATGCCCGAACTATATAAAGTTACCCTATTTTCAATTATGATTAAACGAAAAAGAGAAAAAGGTATTCCACGCTCGAGCACTTAACCTCTAGACTGCTGAGACGGCATTCAACAATATTAATGTCAAGAGGTATTTCCTGGAGTTTTTGTGAGAATGAGTGAACAATAGAGTTCAACCGTGTCTGTTGTGAGATGATGGATGTGTCGCTCAATTTCGTGGATTAGTTGAAGTTAGACATTAACACCATTGGATACCGGTCAACTCGGTAGTCCAGAGGTTGAGTTTTCGTGAGCAAGACTGAAAGATCCTGGGTTCGAATCTCACAAGGTGGAATCGTGGATGAACACTGATGAAGAGTCCCACAATAGGACGGATCGACCGTTTAGTACTTCCAGGTTTTCTATGATGGCGGTCTAGCTTCAATTGACTCATGATCTCAATTATTGAAATCATTATAATATCTACGAAAACCTTTTCTGATATTAAAAATCATCCATTATGACAAATACAATCATTTCAGTTATAACAATAGTTATATAATAACAATATGATATGAATACAAACTTACTTGTTATCAAAATGAATAGGAAATGAACACTTCGTATTCTAAATTCTTGTTACAAATACGTTGAAATAATAAAATAATCCAACTCGACTTTGTTTTCCTCTCAAAAGACACACACACATATATATCGTCGTCTAAATTATACTGACATGAGGTTGGTACGAGGATTTTTTGTTTTGTTTTTGAAAAAAAAAAACAATCGTTGCACAATATCTTTTTCTTTTCAAATATTTAACAGTGAAATTTCATAATGAACCAATCAGAAGTCGTCTAATTATTATTTTATTTTTTTGGTTTTTTTTTTCAAATTTTTAACCAATCATTGATCGATTGAATTGGTGTGACCTAAAAGTAATTTTAAATGTTGATTTTACATAAACAAATGAAATGAACACACACACACACACACAAAAACCCGCCATATAATGTCAATATTTAAACAAAAATAAGAATAATTAATAGTATATAATGTACTGGTTAATTTTTTGTTTTGTTTTTGGAAAAGTTCATGGTGTAATTCATGTTTAATGAAATAGATGTTCATGGTTATATAAAAATAAAGAATAATTCAGTAGTACAGCAATTTGTACAATCAATATGAAGTATATGGTTAAAATATCCAAAATGCTTTTTTGTAGAATATTTGATTGAAATAGATACTTTTATTGAATATTTGGAACTATTGAATGGTTGTTTTATTCACGATTCTGCTCTCCAAATTCGAACTCTGAAGCTATTCGTCTTACGAGAGAACATTTAGATTTTAAAGCATTAAGCAAGCATTCAGCGGTGTTAATATCTAACATTAATTAATCTATGATATTGTGACACCGTTCATTATTGTCTTCATTGAGTTACTATCTCACAACAGACTTGATTGATCTCCGCTGGTCACGGTTTCTAACAAGAAGTGTAGGAAATACCACTTGAATCCAGTCACTAGTGAACATATGATGATTATAATCACAGAAGGCGTTTTGTGGATATTATGGTAACTTAATAGTTGAATTCATAAGTCAGTTGAAGCTAGAACATCATGAAAAAACCTGGGAGCACTGGACGGCTACTTCGTCCTATCGTGGGACTCCCCAGAAGTGAGTATTCACGATCCACGGTACTTTTTACATATGCCAGAAATAATTATAGTTCCACAGGCTGTTCAAAATTCTTAGTTATTTACAAAATTTATGCTTTAAAAAATATATATAGGATAAACATAGTGATATCATCGCTTCTAGTTTCAATTCTTAGCTAATTGAACACTGTACAACTTTGTAAATCACATACCAGAAGTATCTAACTGTTATGTCCCGATAAGTATAATGAATGGTAACTTTTGGAATCCATTCATGAACCAATTCTATGCGTATATTTCTATCATATAATTGTTAAATAAATAAACTATTCATATTCGTGTCCCTCTTATTATAAGCTTTATGCTGACTTATGAACTATTATTATACGATTTACCATTCTTGAATTATGCCCAGTCTATCAATTACTACCTCCCTTATTCACAGCCTTATTTGGCTAATTCTTGTACTGGTTTTGTTTTTTATTTTATGGTACGATGTGGTCTGTTTGGCATGTATGTAAACCCAGTACGTTTGAAATATAATGATTCATATTGCAGAGACTGAGATTGATGTTCTGGACTTAACTGGCTGGGTCAGGCACGAAGCAGGGCCAATAAGGACTCTAGACTGTTCTTACTTGTTCTATGCCTCGTTGGTCTCGTAGATAATTCACGGCTCTCTAATTGGCGGTATCATTACGTATACATTAGCAGGGCACTCAGGCTGCAAGTTATAGCACTAACACTCTGTTGGTTGTAACTACCCTTTCATTAAGTTGTTTATTGATATCGCTCCTCTCCTATTAACCGAGAATCACTTCTAGGTAGTGAAGTTAACTGAAGTGTTAAAACTAATCTTCTATGAATATTTAATCTAGTGGCTTTATTAGTTAATTCATGTGATTTATAAATGAAACAAATTTATTAAAATAATTTCATCTGACGACCTGCTTGAACATCTTGGCTACCTTTCCCTGCCATCTAAATATTTCAACAAGTTATCTAGTTTTGGCTATATTACTCAGTTACGCCAGTAACCCCTCGTCGATGAGTAAAGGCCATTCAACAGCATTTTACATCCAACTCTTTCCTGGACAATCCTTTCCAGTTCCTATTCATTCTTTTCATGTCTCATTAAAATTCTCGACTCAGTGTGTTCATTGGCCTTCCTCTCTTTTTTTTCATATCCCTTTAAAATTCCAAGTTAGCGCTTGACTCGTGATACAGTTTAATGATTTCCATAATATATGTCCTATCCATTTCCATCTTCTTTTCTTAATTTTCTCCTCAACTGAAACCTAGTTTGCTCTCTCTCTCTCTCTCATAGTAAGTTGTTGCTGACAGTATCCGGCCAAACAATATTCAATATCTTACATAGGTCTATATGTACAAGAAAAAGATGGTAATGACAGAAAATTTTACAGTTTGACCGAATTTACCGTTGTCAACATTCGTAGAATAACCAACAAAACAAAACAAAAATAAGCACAATATTACAAGTCTGCTGATTATTCAGGTGGATAAAATTACATATTTTACACATGATTTACGTATTATATATACGTATTCTATGTCAAATATCAAATAGCTATGGTTAACTAATTTCTAACTTCATTGAAAGTAAAGTTCTCTTCTTGACATTCTTGTGTTAACCGCCTTATCATTTTGTTAATATACAAAATTAACGATTAGTAACCAAGAGATTACCGTTTGCTTGTTGTTGTTGTTGTTTTTTTTTCATTTCCAGTAGGGTGTTTTGTTTTTCTTCTTTCAGTTAATTACATAACTAACTACATTCAAATTGAAATTAGTTCTATTCAAATCATATGACTAAATAAATCATTGTTCATTTTCAAAATTGCTTTATATTCCGATCAGTTAGTTACTAATGTCAATATGACACTAATGATTTCTGTGTACATTCCAGTTAGTTGAATAGAAAAAATTCATCTAACAGGCACATGATAGCATATCATAGCGCATCATTACGTAACATCTACAGGCACATGTAACAGGTTCTTTGTTCAAATATCTACATAGATGTAATGTGACCGATTACTGTTTATACAAATAGAATGTTTATGTAATAACACTATAATGAAAAATAAAGAGAAAATTATCTGGGTTTTTTTCTATACTGTAAAGTCACCTAATCACTTAGAAACTAACTTCAGTTAGATCGTTTCTGCTTGTTATCGAAATATACAAGCCACCAACCTTCAGATCTAATCATGACTCAAATCGTGTTAGTGAATAATTGAATTCAATAAGTCAATTACGAGAATTGATTTTTGAATACTAATTGATCTGGACAGACAATTAGAGGAATGAAGCGAAGCAAAACGAAATAATACACAATGGAGAAGGCATGTAAGCCTACTTCATTTAACTGAGTGTAAATCGACATTCATATTCAGATAGGATCAATAAGTGAATAATTAACAAGGTCACAATGTGACTCAAGAAGAACGAGTAGATTAAGCTTGTTCGGAAGCTAGAATAAGCTATAAGGGTTTAACATCATAGCAATCGACACTACAGGATTAATAAACTAAAAAAGTATATTAAGAATTATTAATTGAGTGCCAACCACTATCAAAGTCTCAATCTTTAGTACGAATATCAAGACGGTTCTACTGTACGGAGCTGAAACTTGGAGAACTACTACAATCATCATTAAAAAGGTACAAGTATTTATAAATAGTTGTCTACGCAAGATACTCAACATCCATTGGCCGGATACCATCAACAACAGTCTACTGTGGGAGAGAACAAAAGAGCTTACAGCTGAAGGAGAAATTAGGGAAATACGATGGAAATAGATAGGACACACTTCGAGGAAATCATTGAACTGCATCAAAAATCAAGCAGTAATTTGGAATCCTGATAGGAAACAAAAAAATTGGAAGGCCAAAGAACACACTGTGTCGGGAATCGAAGGCAGACATCAAATAGATGAATAACAACTGGAAGGGATTGCCCACGATAGAGGTTGGGTGGAGTGTGCTGGTGGGCGGCCTACGCCCCTCCACGAAGAGTAATAGGTGTAAGTAAGTAAGTAAGAAATAAAATGACATTTCATTTATCTGTTTTATTACAGGTCTTATTAATTGCTGATAGATGGAAATGAATGAAAACATCTATTAATAAAGTGTAATCATTTAACTACTTACTTACTTACTGACTGACTTACGCCTGTTACCCTTCATGAAGGAACATAGACCGCTCACCAGCACTATCCATCCATCCCTGTCCTGGACAATCCTTTCCAGTCCTTTCTAGTGTTCTTTTTAGAGAACAACTGAATGTCATTCGTTTTTCTATTAAGAAAAATACAATTCAGATAATCTGATTAAAAAGGTTAATACCTTCTGGGAAAAGTTTTACTTAAAACTGGCTAGCATAAAATTAGTATGATTGATACATTTGAAATTCAAATTATGCAACATCTCATCACAATCAGTCATAATGGGAGAGTAAAGCTCATCTTCTTGAACCCTATCACTTAATGATTTGGTAAAACCTGAAATCAATACATTAAGTACCTCATTTGTAAAATATTCATCAATTGTCTCAGACTTTATTATCCTTTCGTTTCCATGCCAATCACTCTTTGTTCTTGTTCTCTTCGATTTTCTCAACCTTCTACTACCAGACATTCCACTTTCGATTGGTCATACATACTATTTATATCTGTCGATATCAGTAGCAAACATCACAATGAAATTGAGAAAAAAGTATTACCTACCTTATGTTTGGAACTTGTAAGTTAAATGCACCTATGTCTCAGTTTAGACTAAAACTCGAACCGAATAACTGCAGCTTCAAATACTAATGGTTTCCAAACGTTGTCTAACATCAATCGATTTGTGATTCCAATCAAAAACTTAATGATCTCCACAACCCCTATACTAGTAATTAGCATGTGCTCACTAGTGACTAGCTTCGTGAGAGAATTCTCGGAGTTCTAGTGAGAAGCCGTGACCAGTGGAGCTATTCCATGTCGGGTAGAGACAGGTATCTACCTCAGTACAATGGAAGATGGTTGTACGATTTGGTGGGTTGGTTGATGTTAGACACTATCACCATTGGATGCCGGCTCAGTGGTTCAGTAGGTAAGGCGTTAGCGCGCGAGACTGAAGGCCCTGGGTTCGGATCTCGCGAGCGGGATCGTGGATGTGCACTGCTGAGGAGTCCCACGATAAGACGAAACGGCCGTCCAGTGCTTCCAGGTTTCCAAAAATGATCTGACATCAATCGATTCATGATCTCAATAAAAAACTTAATAATCTCCAGAACCCCTATACTAGTTCTTTAAAGATTGATCAATTGCAGTCTTTAAACTATTCAAAGTAGAATGCTGATAAACATGTTCAATGTTTAGAATCCATTGAAGTTCAAAATAAATGGGGAATGTTTACAAATGTAACATTATTTATGGTATATATAATGGTAATGTATAACCCGAAATAGTTCTCATTTCATTTCTTACCTGAATGTTGTTTTCCCAAAGGTAATAATCAATATCATGAGTATACATTATATATATATTCACATTATTTCCTTTCAGCGACTAATACTTGAGTTTTTTTCAACAGTACTAACTAATGAACTGACCTTAAAACTATATCCAATATTGAATAGGGATAAGAAGAAAATAGAATGTATGTGAAGTTATTTATAAGGTAAATGAAATGTATCGAACAATAGAATCCAGGATAATGTTTCGTCCAATGTTGGACTTATCAGCGCAACATATCTGCATCTTGAAGTTAATGCCTAGTCATAATTATAACCCATTGCTTTCTACTTCAAATATCTAACATGTTTTCCATATAATTGGTGAGTCCAGATAGTTATTCATTTGTGTATATAAACTCATTTACTTGTTTAGTCAGATCAAAGTTTAAACTAAAGCGACAGTCATGGTAGTGAAGGTAGTTGTACAGATTATTACTGAAAACATACAATGGATTTAGTAAGATAGATATCAATAGCCACAGTTGTATATACAGTGGATGTATAAGTCAGTCATAATGTAGTTTACTAAATAGTATACGTGTTAAGTTGGCCTCCAGAGGTCCTAAAGGAGCCAAAGAGTTGGTGGAGAAGATTTGTAGCTCAGGTGGATGATTTTGGTGGTGTTTTGTTCTCTGAGCTGGATGGTTTGGTCGTGGAGCTTTCATCGTTCTTCTGAACGACATCTGTCTAAAGTTTGTGCTGATGATGTCGTTCAGAAGAACGATGAAAGCTCCACAACCAAACCATCCAGCTCAGAGAACAAAACACCACCAAGAGCCAAAGAGTTTCCATCCAATCAGAACATGATGGAGATATCTAGTATATCAACGCAGCATGCTACTATCTGACAGTAGCGAAATATCGCTTGTTGCAGATTGGTCGACTTATAATGTTGATTTAAAAAAATGCTAATATCTATGAATAGTCGAGATTTTCTGTACATTTCGATTCTTACAAAATAAAAACTTTTCCGAATTTTCTTCTGTCTTCTGATTTGTGACGGTGAAGTTTCAGCCTTTGAGTGTCATAGTCGTAAACTGTATTCTGCGTTAATCAAGTAGCAAAATTAACGTCCTTAATAATATCATCAAAATCTAATCAACACTTCATTTGCTATTGTGTTGCTTAAATTTTCCCATTGAGGTATAAGACTGAAATTGATCAGTCTGTTATTGGCATGTGTGCATACTGTGCGTATTGTCTCGATATTGCCTTAATTCACAAGCATTATACGCAAAGATGGATAATGAACAGCAGTGGAATCCAGTTCGATGAGCGTTTCGTCCTATTTGGGACTCGTCAGATAGATGTACCTGCATCTCAGAGTTGATGTTCAAACAGAAACAAACTCGCGTAATGGATTTCACTGCTAGCCACTATTCATTTAATCAACACTGTTTACAAACATCCAGTATAAGTTGAGTACTAACCGAATAATAATAATAATAATAATAATAATAATAATAATAATAATAATAATAATAATAATAATGATAAGGAACTAAGTGAATCAAATAGTAAGAATATGGTCGGTAGGTTGTGCAACCATAAATTTGTAACGCATACATTTTCGACGTTTGATATATATGTGGTACCAAGCATTTTTCTATTCATTTGGTAGATGAACATTGTATGTAAGTTCTAAATATTCACAGAGGAACTCATTTTAATTTCTAACTTTCACCTTATTATAATAGTTGAGATTATGAGTTAATTGACGCTAGACCACTATGGAAAACTTGGAAGCATCTTATTTATTTGAGATGACCTACAGTGACGTATTCATAGAAGATATATACACATAGTTTTATATGATTGTAATGAAATCCTCAATGAAAGTCATTTTTATGTACGCAATAATCAGCTATGAAATGAACAAGAAGATGTTAGAAATGACTAATTATTATGCTTTCATTAAACAGTTAAAAAGAATAATTATTCTTACAAAAGTGAAGCATAGAAACAAGTTATGAATTTTTACTTACTTGTTAGACAATCAGAAAAACAATATTCTCTAATGAATAGTTTGTGGAAAATAAACATTCAGTTGGTCAGCTACAACGTTAGACCAGGCACATTTATGCATCGGTTCAAGTTGCTATGCCTAATTAGCATAACAACATGAACACCAAATACATAGAAGTAGTTAATTCAATGGTAGTAATATATAAAAGATTGTATACAAGGTTATAGTACAGGAAGAAAGAATTAGTTCATAGAAAGAAAGATATGAAGCGATTTTAATCTCATAGTTTAAGGGAAGACAGAGAGTGTATACACTGACGCCATTGTGATCGATTCTGGGCCGTGTCACTAACAGTCTCCAACCATTGGTTAAGATAGTCACGCGGATCCCAACCAAGTAGTCTGCATCTACCAACATGGTTCAGACTAGAAGTTAGTGACTTTATGGACTGATGCCACGTTTTGATTTGGTCACCCCTTACTTTCTTCCAACCATCTCCAACACTAGTCAGTATTGCACGTCGTGGTAATCGGTGTCCACGTATACGTAACAAAAACATAAACATTAATATTTAAAAATATTTAAGTGATTTTACATACTTCATGAATCTATCAATGCGATCTACAGATTGTTCTATCTGTAAGTTTAAAGAATGGCGACATATAAATTTATCCGTAAGGATGTGAATTATCAATTTTCTCGGATTTTTATAAGGATGTAAATTGATTTTCAGGAGTTTTCACACTGTTTTTGATTAGAGTTAGGTTTATTGGTTCAAAAGTTTACGGTTTAAGTCGAAGTTTAAAACTAATTATTACCATGTGCTCATAAGTGTTCAGCTTCGTGAGGGAATTCTTCGAGTTCTAGTGAGAAGCCATGACCAGTGAAGTTAATCCGTGTCGGGTAGAGACAGGTCACGCAATTTCATGGATTGGTTGAGGTTATACGTTAACACCGTTAGATGGCGGTCGGCTCAGTGGTCTAGAGATCAAACGTTCACACGCGAGACCGAAGGCCTTGGATTCGAATCCCGCGAACAAGATCATAGATACGCACTCCTAAGGGGTCCCACGATAAAACGAAACAGCTTTTCAGTGCTTTCAGATTTTCAATGGTTGTCTAACATCAATCGATTCATGATCTTAATATAAAAATATTGATTTAGATTTAAAGTTCCGGTTGGGATTACGAGATAGGATTGAGATTAAGGGATATGGATGATTCCTTTATTATATACATTCCTCATGTTCATAATTCAATATCCAATGTCTATGATATTTGTTTCTACTGGTCCTACTACATGTTAGAAGAAAGAAGAGTCATTCATTAGTGAATTTAGGGCAAAAGCCTATGATAAAGTTTTCTCAGTTTCATTGACTCATCTTTATACCATACTCTTACCATAACGACTTATATAGAAGATATGAATTACAATTGTCCATTTCGTGAATATAAAGCATACAAACAAAAGACTAATACATTTCAAAATATCAGAAGGGGTTTTGTGGATATTTTAGAAATTTCACCGATTGAAATCATTAGCCAATTGAAGCTAGACCACCATGGAAAACCTGGATGCCGGCTCAGTGATCTAGATAGTTAAGCGCCTGGCGCGAGACTGATAGGTCCTGGGTTCGAATCTCGCGGGGTGCGGGATCGTGGATGTGCACTGCCGAGGAGTCCCATACTAGGATGAAACGGCCATCCAGTGATTCCAGGTTTTGCATGGTGGTCTAGCTTCAATTGACTCATGATTTCAATCAGTGACATGTCAAAATAACCTAGAAGAATACAAATACTATTCGGTCTATGAACGAATTAATCAATAACCTGTTACTTTAGGGATTGTTACGTAACTTACATTTGACTTTTGAAACTAACTTATTACCTAAATATTCATAATTATCTCATTAAGATACGGTATCATATGATGTAACAATTCAATATAGTGTAACAAAAATATCATAACTGTAAAGGAAA